AATTTAATTGTCACAACTTCATCAAATATGCCCATTCATGTTTTTTCTCTATTTAACAATTTATAATAATTAATTCATTTATAATAAATTGATTAAAAATCTTTGAATATATAAAAAAATCACTATGATTCATCCTCGTTCCTTAAATAACAATTTTAATATAAATTATAAATATTCATATAAACGAACTTAATAATCGTTTTTAATCGTCTAACAATGCATTAAAATTGATTTATTTCACTTTCAGATAATAAGTTTGATCATTTCATTCATTTCTGGAATTATGTAAGTTAATCTGATGATACGGTATAATCTATTTTTTGTTTTCTTTTTTTTTTCTTTTTTTTTTTTCGTTTTTTTTCAAATAATTATTTCTTTCATTTTTCATGTATTTTTGGTAAATATTCTTACTTATCTCTTATACGTCGATATTCAAATTATTTCTGATACTTCTTCTAGATTTTCATTTATGTAAAAACTATTTTTTATATTGCACAACTTAACAGACAATTATATTATTAAGTAATTAATGCAAAAAAAGTTTTTCTTAAAACAATTAAAAAAAATTAATATTTTGTAAAGTACGAATAAAAATGAAATATTATATAAATGTTATGTTATTTAAATACTTAATAAGAAACTAAAATTAAGTATATATTTTATATGAATTAATTATATACCTAAAAATCGAGTTATATTTGAAAAAATAAAGTTCAAAACATCTGAAAGTGAAATAGAAATGTTCTTAGAAATGACAAATCATCCGAGGATTTTCCTTTTTTATCCGTTAACAAATATGATTTACATTTCAATGATTTGGTACTTCGTAGATCGATTTAATACATATACTTTTATATACCTATTTTATCGCAAGATTAAAATCTCTCAATGATTGAGATTCTTTTTCTTAAATACAACTTTGTAATAAGTATATTTTGCATTTGAAATAATGTTTAATACCCATTTATTTCTTTCGAGTATATGTCCTTCAAATAAATGCAGTAATAATAATCTGCATAGAATCATCATCTTAAAAATACTGATTCTCTATTTTTTCTCTTATTTTTCATTCTTAGAGAATTAACAATCTAATATTCCTACAACATATCTTAAACGTGCGAATACTAGAAACTAAAGTATTCAAACGTGCTTAGAGATATGATTTAATGAATAAAGAAAAAAATAAAATAGAAAAAAGTATGGAGTGAAATAAAAGAATATCTATGTACATGATATAGCGCATTTCATTAAACAATAATAATTAAATCAGTTGCAAAGCGATGGCAATGATATTATTAAGAGAAATATTAAGAGTAATCAGCAATGTATCTAATAATTACACTGAACATTCAACATGGAAGCAATAAATAGTTAAAATGAGAATGAAAATTTAAATTCCTTTTAAACATTAATGGCAATTAAAGGACCACCCATATTTAGAAGATACATATAAATAATTTTGAGAACACGGAAGTGATCCTTGATTCCAAATTAAATGTATGTGAAAGAAAAGTTTTTTTTTTTAATAACTATATTAATTATCATATTAAGATGTAAGTCAAGGAAGAGATAATTTCTCTTGATTACTTTATTCTAAAACATGAAAGTAATACTCATGGAAAAGCATTAACAAAGTCAAAATTACTTCTTTTTTTTTGTTTTTGTTTGTTTTTAAACTTTTCATAACAAGCACTCGGGAGCCATTCTATCGATTATTTTTTAATTACTAATCAGTCAACATAATAATTACTTAAAATGCTAGATTGAAATTATACTCGAAGAAAAAAATTAAACGTGCCTTTTTTAAAGTCTTTAACGATCACAAAAAATTCTCGACGATCAAATATCACTACGTGTCTCATTCATTCCTTTTGTTTTTTTATTTTTTTGTTTTTTTTTTGTTTTTTTGTTTTTTTTTTCTTTGCTATGCATCTGTTTGGCATAACCGCTAGTTAGTGATAGAACATATCATACAATGTTATGCTCTTAATGTTCGCGCCTTAACAAAAATTTGGTCGCCTTATCGACGAGCTTCCTTAACTGAAGGAAAAACCGAGTACAAGGCTGTCATTTCTTTTTGGCTGGATTCCTTTGTGGTGTAGATGGTCTGGTGGCTTGACCGGTATTCAAACTTAAGTACTGGTATTTAGCTTTCTTCTCTGATGGTTTCAAAATCTGCACGTATACGATTAATGAATAAAAATTAAACAAAAATGCAGCATGCAAAAATGGGTGATGAGTATTAAATATTGATGAATCCTACCTGAAAACTGCACATTAGAGTTTCGTCGACGCTCATCATTCCTCCGGCATTGTCGAATTCTCCGCAATAATTTGGCGCGGAAAACAAGGTAACTAACTGTCTTTTCGCAAAAAATTCATAGCCATCTTCGACTACTTGATGTGCTCTACATATTAAGTCCATATCATGACGATTTAAGAATTTCGACACTACATCTGGACCAAATGTGAAAGATACACCTCTATCATTTTCACCCCATCCCTAGAACATAAAAAACAAAGTCCAGTATTAGATTAATATTATATGAAATATCTAGAAAGTATAATCAAATATATAATGAAAAAACATTATACCTGAACTTCTTTATCTGGATCTGACCATAACAAATCACAGAGAAGGCCAGTATCAGGTACATCTGTTGGACGCATAATTCTTTTGATTTGTTCCATATTCTGTTGAAAAAAGAATAATAAATATTTTTCACTGTACATTTTTTTAAATTAATAATAGTATAAAGTAAATATTATTTATGATAAGATTTGTTTTCAATAATTATTCAATAATTTTTAATAGAAAAATAAGAAATAATAATAAAGCAAAATAGCGTTAAGAATTTTTTTTTTTTAAATGATTCTTTTATGAATGATAAAAATCAATAGTTTATTATATAAAAATATTAATCTTTTGACATTCTAACCAGGATCAAACGTTTAATATTTTTTTTCTTAAGTTTATAAATAGAAAATCAATATTCCAAGCGACAAGTTCTTTTTTAAATTTTCTTTCATAAACTTATATGTTACCGGATGCTTCTAAAAACAAAACATTTAAAGATACAGATTTTTATTGATAGTTGACACGAATCAAGTCCCATAAAATTAAAAATATTGTTAAAATTTAGAATTTTATCAATTTTTTATCATTAAAATTTTATCAATTTAATTTTCATTTTTTAAATAAAAATTGAATATCAGATTTCTTTCATAAATGTAAATTTCACATGATATATTTGTCTATGATTATACTATAAGTATTATAAAATTAAATTTTATAAATATATTTTTAATTTAATATACGAAAAAATAACATTTAAAATTTTATTTAGATAAAAAATCTATTAATATTATAATTTTTTTTATTTTATTTCTTGATATATTTCAAATTCTAACATATTTTGTATATATCATTTTAACACTTTTTATTTCTTAATAAATATAAATATTCGGAAATTATTTCAAAATATTTTGTAAATTATTTATGTAAGTATTTAATAAACCGATATTATATTTCATAAAATAGTTAAGTTGTTATAAAATGCTCTTTAAGACTACATCGATCTTTAACGTAATATTTCCGCACGTAATATTATAAACGATTTCCTGTCTAAAAAAAAAACTTCACCTTTTGATCAATATTTAAAAAATTCCTTAAATAAATACGATCTTTTATTTTCTAAATGATTTTTTATGATTGTTAATAATTTTATAAAATTCTATAAATAATAGCTATATAAAAATATTTGACACAAATTAATTTAAATTATTCAATTTTTTTAATCATTTCTGTATATTTAATATAAAAAATTTTGAAAACAATTTTCCCAAAAAATCAATATTAAAATCACCTGAAGATCTGGACTGAGACCTCCATGACAGCAAAATATCTTCTCGTCGATGATAGCGGCTATTGGAAGACAATTGAAGCAATCGGTGAACGTTTTCCATAGTTTAATGTTGTACCGCCTCTTGCACTCGTCGTAGAACCCGTATATCCTGTTTATGCTTGCGCATTCGTGATTGCCTCGCAATAAGAAGAAATTCTCCGGGTATTTGATCTTGTAGGCAAGCAACAAGCATATCGTCTCTAACGATTGTTTGCCCCTGTCTACGTAATCACCAAGAAATAAGTAGTTCGCCTCTGGCGGGAAACCGCCATATTCAAATAGCCGTAACAAGTCAGTGTATTGGCCGTGAATATCACCGCAGATCTTAAGTGGCGCCTCCAATTCGAGCAGGATCGGTTGTTGAAGGAAAATTTCCCGTGACTTGAGACAAAGGCCACGCACCTCTCCCTCCGACATTAAGACGGTCTTTCCTGGTCGGCATCCTCGGACTGCGCCCAAAAATTTCCACGTTTAAATGCATTTCCTGCCCGTTCCCGGAATGTCGGCGACGCATCGCGAGGCATCGGTGAGTCGTTTTGTCACAGGTACATCGAGCATAATTCTACGCTGGAGCATGAAGGTATCTGATTGCCGAGAACCGATTTTCAAAGGGGGGACAAGGGTAATACGATTACACGAATTCCACGGACCGTCCTATTGTTCGGGTTTTCTATTGTTGCTTATATAAATACGTCTGATATGTTCGGGATTGTTGAGTTAATTTTCGATCGACTCGAGTGACAAAGTTCGTTATTCATATATCACATTTTATGCTTAATTCTTCGAAACAATATTTGGATCTTATATATTTTCTTTTATTTTAAAACACTTTTTACCAATCCTTTTATTTTATAATATTTTATGAATAACCAAATATTAGTTTTGAATTTAAGAAAGTTTCAAAACTTAATAAATTTCAATAACTTAACTTTATCGAAATCTAATCAAAAATTCTAATTCAATTTCACTTATTTACTATGCATATATTATATAAATTTATACTATGATTTACTGTTTTGTAAATAGAGCTTTTAAAGTTGCTTTAAAACTGAAAGTTTCTTAAATTCAAAGAATATATTTAATCTATATTGTCAAATATTAAAAAATATAAGAATCAATAAAAAATTATTAATATTATAAAAAGATTTAGTCATATATTTGTATAAATAACAACATTAATGATTTATTCTGTAAAGATGAAAGAATTAAACGCAGGTGGTTCAATCATGAAAACATCAAGCGATACGATATATATTTTCTTCTGATGCAATAATCGGGGACACAAAAGGTTGTCGTATACTGTAGTTATAATGCTTCGAAAGGATTAAGCGGCTGTATGAGTTCGAATAATACGCCGTATAAGCATAAACTTGTGGAATAGTCGAAAACAAAAGCTTGAAATCAGTTGGTGGTCACGCGTAAGTACCATTGATCGTGATATATGAATATAGATTACGAAAATGTGTAGACGAATATATGGAATAATCATAAATAAATGATTAATGAACAAAGAAATGTAAAATTTCATTTGTAGATTATTCTTTAGAACCTTGTATCAGTATCATTGGATTATTTATAGTTATAAAGGAATTCACGGTGCGGTTAAACTGGGCCGATGGTGGTTATTGGAAAACTGCATATCAGCAAGGTCACATCAACGAGTATCTAAGCATTATAATTAATGATGGAGAGAGAGAGAAACAAAAAAGATGGAGTTGTTGCGAAAGAATGATAAAGAATTCGAAAATGACAAAATGTCGGAAATGACATCTATTAATAATACAGTTATTTACGGAAACAGAACATACGACGAAAAAATTGTAGCTATCGTCATCGTTATATTTATTCACACGCAGTAGTTTGGATTGCTCTTTAGTCGCGTATTGCAATTTATGTTAATAGCATTATCAATTCGTATACCTGAATAGATACTTGGTAAAAAATGTAGTTATAGATAAAACATAAAATAATATATCATAGATATTAAAAAAAAATAAAAATTATTATTCTTCGCCAAGCATTAACATCTTCATTCTAATTAAATAAGATTTTTTGCAATTCTAAAAAAATGAAATTTTTTATCAAACAATTATTAAAAATTTATACACATATATAACATACATAATTTATTATACATAGTATATATTTGTATACCATTTAATATTTGTTAATTTTTTTGATAAAAAATGAAAAAGAATTTAAATTTATTTATATATTAAATAAGAATCTTATAACAAATTATTTAATAAATAAAGTCAGTGTTGTAATATACATTAACTGAACACATTAATAGAAACATATGTCAAGATTATATATATAAACAACATCAATATATATATATTGATACTAAACATTTGTGATAATACATCAAATTGTGCCATAAGTTCTTGAAAAAGAATGTGATATTATTTTCCAAAAAAGTAATTTGATAAGAAAAAAGAATAATAATTATACAAATACTATTGTTATAGAAGCTTAAATCAACACTGACAAGTATCATATCAAGCATGCAAATAAACTAATCTGCATTCAAGCAATATTTTACGTGCAAATTGGATTGTTACAAATTATTTTTTTTATATGGTTTATTATTCACAGAAAGTGATTTGAATTCAATGTTCTCGTTATATGGATAGTCCCAAAAGCTTTATCCTAACTAACAAAAATTTTATCTTAAATATACTATTCTATATATTTTATATATAATTTTAATTTAAATAAATCACAATGAAAAAAATTCACGTATAATCAATAATACCTTAAAAGCTAATGGGACATCATCAATATGATGATAAAATTGATTGAGAATGAAGATGATATCTTGGGAGAACTTCAATATTGCAGGTGCCACAATGCTATATCTAGCTTCTACTTCATTTTACATTATAAATCATAAGCAAACGATGGCGAGCGTTCACGCACGACGTTGAGGCAGGTAAAGACGCAACTAAAGAACGGAAAAAACTACATGGGGTGGTTCCTTATTGCGTACCGACAAAATCCGACGAGAAAATATCTTTTAGCTTGGCTTTCTTCTGAACCTGGTCTTTCTGCGTGTGGTATACTTTACCGCAAAGAGTTCCGACATGTAGCATGAGAAAAGAGAACAAACAAAAGAAAATAGTTTTGCTTTCTGGGAAAATAAATAAAAATACGGAATAAATCCAAAGACGTCTGGCATGTTTAAAGAATTACGACAACTGCAACACTGGAAGATCGATATTTTTTTCTTTTTTTTATCTTTTCTCTCTATTTAATATCTACGGATCACGAATTAAACGAACTTTCGACAAACGAGGAATCTCAAGGAAAACCATTTGTAGACTCGTGATACACAGATATCGGATGACAAAGTAGATCGCGCACGATTTAATCTTCCTCTGGCTGGAAAGAAATGTATATATACTCGATGTACGCGGCACGACTTCATATCGAGCAATTTTCACTGGGTATTACGGAAAAAACTTTTGATTAACTGTACACTAAACTGAAGACTATATTACCAAGAACAACTTCACACTTTCTTTTCACAGAGGCCTCTTTTTTTTATCACGTACCTTCCAACAATCTTTGTATCAGGTTGTCGACGTTCAACTCGACATCCGCCATTTTTTCTTGCCACTGACTGACTAACCTGATGTTTGTAGACTAGATGATATGTTTGTATACGCATTTAACTATATATGACTCTTGTCGATTTGTGTGTGTGTATGTGTGTGTGTGCGAATTATTATCGACTGTCGGTTCTATGTAAATATAAAAAAAATATAGCAAACTTAATATTAAATATTATTTTTAACATAAAATGATTATTGATTTGGATGAATGTGCAATATATTGTATTTGATCTCTCTTTTTTTTGTCTTTTCCTATATAAATATTTCAACAATAATACGTCTTATGTAACAAAATTTGTTGTGTTCTTATGTAAATGAATACGTTATTTACATATTGTGGGAATATTTATGATTTGATCGTGTCATTCAATTTGCAAATTTTGCTTTGTTTTACAATCTAAGGTTATAGATAATATAGATATTTTTTGATAATCTCGTGTTTTGACGAATAAGTTCAAGGTATTGGAATAAATTCATAAAATATCTGAAGAATGAAACGCAAATAATATAATCATTTTCAAGAATATCTATTTGTTTGATAAGATCTAATATATTGGAATGTTAATTCGTCAAAAAATATATGTATTATAATTAAAGTTTAAATATTCAATTTATAATTGATAATTTTGTGTAAAATACAATACAATTATATATTTATAAATAAAATCATAATCTACTTTGTACAGTTGCGTATAATGCATTATAAATATATATATGTATACATTATTTTTTAATTACAGCAATTTAAAATAAATTGAAATTATTCAAAAGGAAGATAACATGTATATTTAGAATGGTATTAATTAAAAATAAACTAATATTCATGAATTAAGTGTTTCTATATATGTATAAAATTGTAATTAGATATTTAAGTAGTAATACATTATATTTACAATAAATAAAAGATATTATTCATTAATTTTTAGCTTAAACTAAAATATATAAAATGTATTACATTTTTTTAATATTTTTTTATACATTTAACAAATTAAGAATATATACTTACAGTTTAGAAAAATGTCGATTAATATTCAATACACAATTTTTGAAATTCTTATATGTTCTTATAATAACCTATTTTTATATACTGAACTATTCTAACAATGCATCAATATACACAATTTTTAAACAAATGTTGCAGCTGCTGTACTTATAGTCTGGGATATAAAATAATTATAATATTATTGAATTCAATTAAAAATATTTAAATATTTATAATAACTTAAGCATATTTCCTATGATAATCAGGTGGTGAATCTGCATAATCTTGTTGAAGATTAAAAAGTTCAGTATTATTTTTTTGTAAATATAGTAAAAAATCGTGAAAATGAGATAATAATAATTGTATACTTCTTTCATCTAATGTAGTATATGATAACATTCCTCCAAGTCTCACTGTAAATATTAATTAAATTAATAATAATAATGTTTCTTATTATATATTAATATATTATCATAAAATATAATTACAAATAGTACCAAACAGCCTCAATAAATGAAATGCACCATATAGTTGACTTGGCAGTGTTTCAGGATTATCATTCATAATTTGAATAAATTGTGGACGTTCCCACTTATATAATAATTGTAAACCTAATGAAATATTGAAATATTCGCGAATACCTTTAGTTATTTCTAATGTACTTTCCCTAAAAATAGATAAAAATATTAGCTTTATACAGAAAAAATATATAAAAAATAACACATTTTTAAAATTATAATACAATTACCTAACAGAATCATTTTTTCCAATTGATTTTGATTCTACATAGTCATCTAAAATTTTATCAACTGTATTTTTCACAGGCAAAGCAGGCAATTTATGATGTTTTAATATTACTTCTGATTCATCTATAAGTACATATTTTAATTCTTCTGGAATTTTAATTTTAACCTCCACTTTAGTGAGATATTCTTCTGTTTCACCAGTTGGTTCTAATCGGCTATAATAAATTTTATATTTCATAGTTTATTAAATGAAATCTTTTAATAAAATCATTAAAATTTCTTTAACATAAACCTGCGTTTTTTACGTGGAGCATCTGAAGTGGAATCATGAGATGATGATGGCGTTACATTGCTGCTAGTGCTTTTATTAAAACGGCTGACACCTTTATCAACCGTTGCAACAGGAGTACTAGCTCTGCTGTCAGTATCTTTTTCACGTCCACCTTCACTTCTTCGTCCTTGTGTTTTAGATGAGGTACTGCCTTTTTTATTTTTTTGTGCAGATTGTTGATTTGAATGTGCTTTTTGAACTTCTCTTTGTCTTTGTACATTTGCCTCGTTATATTTAAGTACTCTACTTTCCGGAACCCATTCATCCCAACTATTTATATTAAATTTATATATTTATAATTTCAATTTTATAATTTTATATTTTATAACATAATAAATAAAATATAAATCTTACTTTTTATTCCATCCAGCATAATGAATGAAATATTTTATCTGCTTTTCTTTAGTAATGGAGGACTTTAGACATTTTGCTTCATATATTAATGGCCCATGAAAACATAGAACCTTTTCTCCTATAAATTACCACATATTTATTGAAAATAAAATTAGAAAATGAAAATAAATGAAAAAAATATTTATTATTTAGTGATCAAACATCATTAAATATATCTTGGAATTTTCCGTAGTTGTATTAAAAATTAAACATGTACCTTCTTGAAATTTACACTTCGGTGGCATACTTATCTCCTTTGAATTACTTATTTTGACTGTTGGTTTTTAAATCGTCAATTTTAAATATTGCCTAAATTTAGGAAATCGCTCGATAATTCGCGCCAATGGAAAACAATTGATTTCCACTGATCAATTTAAAACAGAACTTTGAATATAGTGTCTTAGGCTTTATGTTCTTATATGTTCACTAAATTCATCTAAAGGTTAGTTTTCAATATGAACGATTATATTTATAATAAAAAATCTTAGCATTAGGGATTTTTCATTTATACAATTTTCAAGCCTGAAACGCGTATTTAATTTAAATTTAATTTGAGACTTGATATAAGAATAGATAAAAAAACAAAATTATTAAAACATTAGGTATATTTCTTTATGCTAAAATAAGTATTGCATATTGATTACAAATGATTGACATAACAGTTATATATTTTTTTAAGCCAAATGTACAATTTGTCAAGTGTATATGATAATTATCTATTGCTTATTCTAACCTATAATTTATTGATACAAAGTATGAAAATAACTACTAATATTATGAGCATATATACATTATGTCTTAACTTCATTTCTGTATATAAGATTATTATTATATAGTAAGTATATGTAAAAAATTCATATATA